TTTACAAATTAACAGCAGCCCCTTAATATGACAACAATACAATACCCATCAGCACATTACAACAATACAATAACGCCTCAACCGACCCAACCTTTTCGTCCATTTTCCCTCATCCTATTTTATTTCCCAGCCGACCCAATCCCACAATAATACCCATCCCATTAACAATACAACACCAACCGACCCCATCCCCTTTATTTCCCTCAACTCAACATGCCCAGTAAAAGCAATTCCTCCAGCCCACCAATTAATTCTCCCGACCCGGCCCGGCCCAAATTAGTTCCACAAAAGAGACCCAGCAATTCCTTTCTCGTCCCTCACGTTAACAGCAGCTCACAGCGATAGACGGAAGCAGCAACGGCTCCAACACAGTGAGCAGCACTGCACTGCAATTTTTGTTTTCTTCCTCGATGTCCTTTTCAAATCGTACGTTTCCAGCATCCAAAGAAGCACGCGTCTTACCCCCTTTCCCCTTTCGGAATGGGGTTGAAGAGCTCGGAAAAGGGTGTTTCCCTATTTTGGTGTAAGTTTTTTTGAGCATTTGAATTTCGAATTGGGCCCTCTCCATCCGGATTTTCATCTTTCCCCCCCAAATTCTACCCTAAAAATCTCCTATATATTTTTCCTCTTAGTCACTGTTGAAAGGGGATTTTTTTTGGTGGAAATTTTTTGAACTAAGACAGAGAGAATAGTAAGCAGTTAGTCACAAAAAACATACAAAAAATATATATTCGAAAAAGGGTAAATTAGACCTCTCGATTGCTGTTCCATTCGTGATTATGTGGTGGAACTCATCGTCATTCCCCTGCTCGTTCTTGCCCAGGTTGCTGCCCCGTGAAAGGTAAATCTCGTGTCAACTCAACATTTCTGTTTCTTTAGTGTGTTGGTGGTTTCCCTAATGGAAATCTATTTTTTTTCTTATTGTTTTCGACTTAATGTCAACTATAGGTTAGTGAAAGAATTCGTTTAGCGATTGAATGTCGTTGCCCTGTTCATTTTTTCTCTCTGTCCCGACCTTTCGTCTCCTCGCTAGTGTATGTTTGTGTCACCTTTATTCCTGAAGCGTGGGCTGTAAATAGTGATAGTTGTTTATTCCTTGTTAGTCTTCATGTCTAATTACTCGCGATGAGTTCGGTCCGTTCGAAAATGAGTAGGATGGGCAAACAAACTGATCATTTCAAATTGTTTAAAGGCTCACCCGAATGTCATCTGCTCAACCTTCTTCTTTTAATGTTTCTCATTGGGTTTTACTACATATCTTTCATTTCATTTTTTTTTACTGTGAATCATGCTAAGAGAATGTTAATCTGTATCCAAGTCATCTACGTTGAAATAGTATTTGCCTGCTACGTTTTATCTTTCTGTGATGTTTCGGGGTTTGTTTTCTCACCACCTAGAATAATGTTAAAGAATGACAAATGTCTCACATCGGTGATTAATGAGATGGGTGGACTCCTTATATGGCTTGGGCAATCCTCTTTCCTTTGAGCTAGCTTTTGGGGTGTGAGTTAGGCCTAAAACCTAATTTAACATGGTATCAAAGTAGGGCCCGTCTCACCCGATGTTGGGACCCTCAAAATCAAAATTGTCCACGCACCAGATGCTAAGCACTGGGCGCGAGGTGGAGTGTTAAAGAATGACAAATGTCTTACATCGGTGATTAATGAGATGGGTGGACTCCTTATATGGCTTGGACAATCCTCTTCCCTTTGAGCTAGCTTTTGAGGTGTGAGTTAGGCCCAAGACCTAATTTAACAAAAAACCTTTCGCTCATCTCTGCCCTCTTTGGCTTAGTAGTTGACGTTTGAATGGATTCGCTGCCTAAGAGTTGATTTTTTTTCTTGCTTTATTGGAATTTGTTTTAGGTTTCGTTAGGGTTTAAGTTTATTTGTCTTTTCTTTTTGGTTATGCTCCTCACCTTATTTTCGTTAAGTTGAGTAGCTGGCTTTAATATTGGTTAGTTTTTCTAGGCAGAATCCTCAAATACGTGTCTTTGTTGCAAGCATTGCTTTTATTCTGTCCAAATGTAGGTTTATTCCTAGAATTATTTTTGTGTGAATGCTCCGCTCCCTGTGCCAAACTTTGTTAAAGTAAAAAATGGGCCATTTTCCTTTCGTTGCAGCATGTGAGGTTTGTTTATCTTATTTTATCCTTTAGCATTTTATACATTGCCCTCTCTGGTAGTTATATGTCAGTAGTATCTATAGATTTCCTAAGCCTTTATTTAGTGATTGTTATAAAAATGTGGTCCATCATAAACTTCGGTGATTAAAGCTTCTTACTTGTCTGTGTTGATTTCTTTTGAATTCGGATCATATGATAGCTATGTATATATCTCATTTACTTCCCTTCGCAAAATATAGTACAATCTTTTCTTATCGATCTTTTTTCTTCTGTTGTATGCTAATCTCTTGCTATTTTATTGCATGTGAAACCTCCCGAATCCTCACGGATTATATCTCTTCTCCTTGCATTTTCCTATTGGGCCATTATGGCCCAATATTCATGTTCCCCGAGTCGATCAGCAAGAAATCGAAATACAGGTTTTCGGAGGATAAACAAAGCTGGATTTTGATTTTTGAGCTCCGGAAAGGTCGAAAACAGGCTGCGTAACTGTTGTATACAGTAGTATACACTGGTATACATGGAAAAATACCGATATACAGTCAGAAAATATGATATACAGGTCAAAACGTGAAAATGCAGAATTAAGGAGTTTAAAACAAAATACAGGTCCGGGAGTCCGAGAATTAGTGGTATACATCGAATATACACTTGGTGTATATCATGATCAAGGAGGATGGAAAGGGGGCCAAAAGCCCAATGAATTCTTTTTTTTTTTTTGCAGGTTTAGCAGATTTGTGAATTTGGCCCAAATTCAATATGTCTTTCCTTTCCCTTTCCTATTTATTTGATATTATATTTGACTAACGCTTTGATTATCCTATGGTTTAATTTAATTAAATTCCTCAAGATAGCCATTTCATTTTTATACTTAACTTTAATTTTATTTGTCTTGTCACTTAAGTTAGTTCCCCTTAGAAAATTCCTATTTAGTTCATTCCCCCTTAAAATAAATAAAATGATAAAAATAATAACAATAATAAATAAATAAGTTAAAATAGATTAGTTCTTTTACTAAGTTAAAATTTCAAAAAAATAGTTAATATAAATGAGTTCTTTTACTTAGTTAAAATTTCAATATTAGTCAAAGTCGTGATGATTTCTTTTATTTAGTTAAAATTTCAAAATTAGTTAAAGTTGTGATGAGTCCTTTTATTTATTTAAAATTTCAAAATCAGTCAAAGTCATTTTTAATCAAATCGCCGGTCAACCGCAAGTTAGCGGGTATTCCGAGAGCCTAACACATTCTCGGAATGTACATTGAACTTCGAACCCTTTTATTTTCAATTGATTTTATCTGTTTAAATCTTTTGAAAACCTTGAGTTTTTTCTTGATTTTTACTAAAAATATTAAGTGGCGACTCTGATCTTTTGGAAATTCGATTTCTCTTCAAACATAGGTTTAATCGATTTATCAAAAATTTAGTCATTTTTCTTTTATTTATATTTTCGAGTAAAACAGACATGTGCCATAAGAGGGGTGTTTTAAAATTACTTAATCAAGTAGAAATGTGTTTTTAAGGGTGTCAATAATTGAAGGACTAAGATAATAGTTTACGTCACGTTTAGAGGTGTTTTCAATACTTTATCTCTTATCGTATTGGTTGATAAGTGAGCTAATTATTTATCAGGTGCATATGGTTTGACAACTCAAAAATTTGAATATAACAAGGAATGACATAAGTTATGTACCAAAATATTTCAAAATTAGGACCGCCAAGGTCATTGTTGATATACATTATGGTATTTTTGTTATCATTACATAATTTAGTTAATATGTGTAGTGCATACTTATGATAATATATAATATTTATTAGTTTGACGATTTTTTTAAATTCAATCAGTTAACAAAAAAGAATAAATATTAGATGACGAGGATATATATACAATGTTTGATAACAATTAAGGGTATATATGCATATCAGTCTTTGAATGACCCTAAAGAATATATATTGTAAAGTTGAGGAGTATAGTTGTCCTTCTCCCCTTATAATAACTAACCAAAAAATCATTATGATATATAATCAAATATTTAAAAAATAATTATATCCAAACGGCTCTTACTAAAAATTTATTAATCTAAAAAACCTATATATGTAGATAGTGCGTGCAAGTAATAATTTAAAAAAGTTTCACAGCTAGCATTGAGCCTTGTAAATGTCATCACAGCCAGTGCAGCAACAAAAGGAAACCAATTAAAAGGGCAAAAAGACATAGTAGATGGTGTGCACTCATCTTTTTATATTCAAATCTTTCTTGGTGGCAACAACACATCCAATTTGTCTCAACATTCCATACTAACTTATTTTTTTAGTGTTTGATATTTATATTAAAGCTCGATAAATTAAAAATTGCATATTATATGACCCATTTTTGAGTGCTTTAAATATATTTTTTTTCATTGTTAAACATTTGAATTCAATTTTTTTAATTAAGAGTCGAGGCTAGAAATTCCAAAAAGGGTGAATTTACATGTTAAAAATGAGATATATGAACTCATGATTTCTCTATAAGTAATATATATATATATATATATATATATATATATATAATTGATATAATAATATTAATATTATCTATTAACACGTGTGCTACGATAAGGCCAAATTAAATTGCCCATTAGTTTAATGTTGATGGTGCCCACTCTTTCTTTTCCTATACCAATCTTTCTTGGTGGCAACAAACATCCAATGTGTCTACATTCAATACTTCCTTCTTTTTATCTTTGATATTTATATTAGGGTCCAATTAAATTTAAATTCATCTATTATAAGGTCCATTTTAATTACGCACTTCCAATAAGATACTCTAATATATTAAGGGAGATCTCAATCTTCCCAATCAATATAAAATACAGCATGCAAAGCACTTCTCTCCTTATTCTATAAAAACATAATCCCAAACAACACAACTTCTCTCCAACAAAAAAAAATTCTCCTCTTTCCCCTTATAAAATAGTTTCTTTATATTTATTTTCCTTGTTCATACTCTTACAATGGAATATCACAAAGAGGTAATTAAGAGGCTATCTTTGTTAATTAATCCACATATTGTTGACTGTCTTCTTTTGCATTTTGTTGCTAATTTTTTTGATAATCACAAGATTTCTTTCTTTTATTCTTTCTTCAAAAATTAAGATAAACATTAGGTTTCCTTCTTTATTTTCTTGTTCTTAAATCTTTCTTGTTATCATAGTAATATATGTCTTTATTTGTGGCTTATAATTGATTGTTTGTCAAACTTCTAAAATTTATTTATTTTAGTTGGTTAGGTCTGTTTTTTTAAAGGTACTTTTAATAAATAGCATTTTATGTTATGATTTGACTAATATTAGAATAACAAATTGTGTTTGATAGCTTTTGCTACTGTTTAAAAGTATTTTTTTTTTCTTCTAAAAACTTGGACAAACACATCAATTCTTTAAAATATACTGTATATCTCTTCTTCTTTTTTTTTTCTTTTTTTTTTTAAAGTATTTTTTAACTTCTCATAAATTTGGCCAAATAAACTATTAGTCTAGCTAGTAGCACTATTAAAAAACATTGAAATTAACTATGAAATTCGTTATTTTACTGGTAGATGAAGAATTTTTTTAATTCATTGCTCAATAGGATTAGTGACGGATTGTGCAGTTTATAGCTATAAAATTTGTCCGTTGCTAGATCCAATTTTTTTTAGCAGTGTAGGAAATTTATTGGTGGTTCAACTTTTTGAAGAAGTTATTCATCTTTTTAATTAATATTGGTTGTAGATTAATCAATTTATGACATATTTGATATTTCTAAAAATAAAAGATGTACATATTAATTTATTGATTGTAAGTTTCTCTTATTGTGCAGAAGAAGACTGGACCATGGCTATCTGTGCCACAATTTGGACATTGGGATCAAAAGGGTGTCTACCCTGACTACTCAATGGATTTTTCTAAAATAAGAGAAAATAGGAAACAAAACAAAAAGGACTTATCAAGAGCAAGTTTTGGAAATGAGAATGACCTCATTTTCTCTACCAAAAGTGATGCAAATTCAGTTTACTTTCCCAACAGTAATGATCATCATTACCATCAGAACCAATCTTCAACTGTAAGATTTTTAATTTTTTTTTAATGCTAGTGCGATCTATAGGTCATGTATTCGAGTTGTGGTATCAGCAACTGATTTTGTGTTAGGATAAGTTGTCTACAATTCACCCCCTTGGATTATGGCCGTTTCATGTACCTTGTGTGAATGCAGGATGCGTTGTGCACTAGATTGTCGTCGTTTAGTTTGTTGTAATTTTGAAGAGGAGAACCTTAGAGCAATAGTAGAATTGTCTCTATGTGACTTATACGTCATGGATTCAAATCGTAGAATTAACCATTGATATTATTGGAGTCCGAAGCCAAAAGGGCAAAAAAAATTGTCAAAAATTCCAAAAAGGCACATCAATTTTTTTTAAAACCAAAAGGGCAAAATCACTTCTGACGAAGCGATTTCCCTCTGACAAAATGACGAAAAATCGCTGCCCTTTTTTTTTATTATTATTATTAAAAATCACTACCACAACAACGATTTTAAGTAAGAATTTTTTTTCTTACACATCGCTGCAGGGGCAGCGTTTTTCACGCCTAGTGCTATTATTTTCATGTCTATTCATGCCTATTGTTAATTATTAATAATACAAAAATGATAAACAAGACGGACAGTATACTCAATAAAATTGTTAAAGAATGAGGAAAATTGAATTATATATCATAAATAATAATAAAAGAATATTAAATTAAAAAAAAATAATTTTTTTTTGAGAAAATCGCTGCTAAGACAGTGATTTTTATTTTTTTAACGTACGACAACTTTTGTTAGAAGAAAATCGCTCTTGAAGGAGCGATTTTGCCCTTTTGGTTAATATTTTTTTTTTGATGTGCCATTTTTGGTTTTTTAAAGAAAAAAGTTGCCATTTTGACTCCGGACTCGATATTATTGTGCAATAAACATGGAATGTGTTGTGCACTAGTCTACCTTTTAGTTTGTTGTGTTTTTACCATCTTTAAATAATGTCATTACTTATAGGTTTTTTAATTAATATTCCAAGATGTATATGTAAACAATATATGAATAAGATAAATAGTTGACATAATTTTGGGAAAAGATATAGTGGGGTACATGATGTAGGACCATTGTTGAGGACAATGCTTAGTTGTCCATATAGAAATGTTGACCTTGTTGATCATTAGATGGAAATGAACCAAATAGTCTTCTATAATTTGTTTGACTTAGTACTCATTATGAGCTATAACAATTGGTTTACTAATTAAAAAGAATGTATAATTGTTCTCTTAGCATCTAAGAGTGTGGCCTAACGATCAATAACATGGGTGAAAATTAAAAAAATTATGCATTTTTGAATGATTTCGACAATATTTTTAGAAAGTCTGAACGATACTGAATAGGAGGGTTACTATACTCTTCTTTGCATTTTTTAGCACAGTGAACTATAAAAGTAATTGTTAATTTAATTTTTATTTTCTTTTTGACAGAGGATGAGAAGGATCTTTAGCTATTTCAATTGCTGTGGAAAAGCTTGAAGTTCATGGAATTGATTTTTTCCAATTTCCTTGTAATGAAAATATAGTAATTTGTGATTTCTACCTAAGTTTTGAGTGACTTTTATAAGAAATAGGAAAATGTTATGAATTTTGGAAATTGTGGTGATTGCTTAATCATACCATCCTTTGCTTCTCTTGTGTACATTTGAGATTTATCTATATGTAATTTGACTAAGTATATTTAACCTTCAAATTAATGTAAAGGTACAATTCTAGTCTCTTCAGCTGACGGAAGTTAAGAAATTAACGGAATCAATAAAATATCTCTCTCTATATATAAAACAACTTGCTTATACTCTATTATTTTTAGCCAAAACAATGAAAATTCACATTGTGTATCTCTTATATATGCATAATTTGTTCTATATAATTTTAGATGTAATGGTATTTGTGTTAGTTGTGCATTTTTTTGGGCCAAATTTGTAACAGATTTAACTAAAATTTGATCATTTTTACCAAATAAGAAAGAAAAAAAAAAGCCTAAATAGTGGAGTTCTAAAAGTTTTCTTTAACTAAAATTTGACTTGTAAAAGATGACTTAAATGAATTTAAAAATAGGGGAAAGTGGCAAAATATTCCTTAAAGTAAATATACCCTCGTTAAAAAAGTGACACATTTTTTTTAAAAAAAAACTGGGGTGGTAAAAGAGAAATGAAGGAGGGGATTACAATGTGGGAATCGACCATCATCACAAAATGAGAGTTCAGTTAATCAACCAACTTACCTACATATCTTCATCATCTAACAAATAGAGCAAATGTATTATTTCTGTTAACAAACTTATACTCCCTAAGTTTTTAATTTGTTTGCCCTATTTTCCTTTTTAGTTTATTTAAAAAAGAATGTCTTTTTTTTTTTTAACAATTCTTTAGTTCCAATTTTCTACATGACATGTTTAATATTATAATATTAAAGAGCATTTTAGTATATTCCACATATCTTTAATTTAAAACCAAAAATTCAAAAAAAATCTTTATTTTTTAAATTTTGTGTCATCAAAATGAAACAAATAAATTAAAAGGAAAGTAGCTAGCTAAAAAAAGAATAGAAACAAGTATTACTTCTGAATTTCTGTGTGGTGGTTTGAACCAACACGCCACACCTTATCAACAGAGCTTCTAGTTATCCCAAAAAATTCCCCCAATTGTTTTTCCAGAAAAAAAATGTCAAATTCTGCATCATCTCTCTTCACTACGCCTTCCCAATTTTTAGTACAATGTAATAATCCATCAATTATTTCTGGAAAATTGAGCTTCAAAATTCGAGCTTCAGCAGCTTCTTCTTCTCCTTCATCAACTGGTGTTGATTTGTCCAACCTCCAAACCGCCATTTCTAAGGTGCATTCCCTGTTTTTCAATTGAAAATTTTAATTTTGTCTCCATTTTGTGCGTATTATAATTGTCTTGTCATTTTTGAGGTGTGCGTCGGTAAAATAATTAAGACATAATACATGAACATGACCTTTAACTTGACACAAGTAGGGTGTGCACACGTAGCTATTTAAACTGGTATAAAATTGAACAAATAGATACATTCGTCCTACATGGTATTCTATATGGCAATTTTGGTCGTACGTGGTGACCTACGTGTATAATGTCACATAGGACAAGTGTGTCTACTTATTCAATTTTATACAAGTTTAAGTGTGTACTTGTGCACTCTCAAAATTTGGAAGGCATAGTCATCCGTTGAAGCCAAGTTAAAGGTTATGTTTATGTATTATGCTAATAATTAATGATGCTCTATTTTAGCTATGAAACTCGCAAAAAAGTAATGCTTAAATTTTTTTTTTATTTTTTTTTTGGCAATTACTCTTAACTGTTTTATGTGCATATTTTCTTGATTGTAGAAAGATAGTAATGCCGTAAAAGAGGCGCTTGATCAGCTAGTTGAAATCGGTTGGTCCAAAAAGTGGGGTTCTCAACCATATGTGTCACGTCGAACGGTCAGTTTTCATTTAAAATGTGAAGGTTTTAGAAAGACAATTATGTATCTATCTGTTATCTAATTTATTTGATTAGCACACATTGTGGCAATAATTCTCTGTAATGGTCTACAAATTTTCTGCTGCAGACATCTCTTAGAGAGCTGACAACTCTCGGAATAAAGAACGCAGAGAACCTTGCAATCCCAAGTGTCAGAAATGATGTAAGTTTCTTGATGAAATTTGTGTTGTTATTACACTGATGACAGTAGCTCTCAATTCGGATATTGTTCTGTATTCTGATTGAAGAAAACTATATGTTCACAAGAATGCGATAATTAAGGGGAACATTTGAGCCAACGTCTTGTTTTTGGCACATATATTGTTCGATCTGTTACGTTCAGTGGAACATTGGTATTTGTCGGATCATGAAATGAATTTGTGACTACACATTTATTACATTTCTTTCGTAGTCCCTACAAACACATTTCATGGCTCCAATTGTTGTTACTTGAAAGTTGAAACATCAAAAGTTGTATAACAAACAGATGATTAATGTGGCTGTCTTTTTCATTTGACTGTTTTGGACTTCGTTATTAAATCTGTTTGATACTGATTTCCTTCAGTGATGCAGGCTGCTTTTCTGTTTACGGTGGTAGGCACAACAGGGTTTTTGGGAGTTCTTGCTGGCCAACTTCCTGGTGTAAGTTCTCTTACTACCTACTTTTCTGCTGTTCATTGTGCTTTATTTCCCCCCGAAGTTTTGTATAACATCTAAATAAATAGTTCCTCTTAAGGAGCAGAGTACTTTGGTTTATATGCCTCATTCTCCCTGTTAAGTATGTGGATAATGCACTGGATATGGGGCCTGAGTCTTTCAATTGGTTCTATTGATATAGTCGATCTAGATAACTATATCTAGTTTGGTTTCGTGGGATTACAATCTCTCGATTTATTATCTGGACGTAAACCAAGTTGACAATCCTAAGAGGTGTTGGGGTTGGATTGTAGTTCAACACCCCACGCCTTTCTAACTACTGACCACTTGTTTAATAGTGTGAATCACCTCATCGAAAAGGTTAATTTGTTAAATAGATAAAACTTTTGTTTGTTCATTATAGTTCAGAACATGTTTCGCACCCAAGGGTGTAGCCTAGTGGTCAATGGATGAGTGAGTTAAGAACCATGAGGTCTCAGATTCAATTCCCAATGGAGGCAAAAAGCACTAGGTGGTTTCTTCCCATCTGTCACCTAGTTTTGTGGATAGAATATCCGGACCTGTGCTTGTAGCAGGTACCCCGTGAAATTAGTCGAGAAGATCAACATGTTCCCATATGTCTGCACCTGAACATTATTAGTGATGTATGTGGCGTTAACATAGAAATACTTTTGGAGGTTTGCAAAAATGTAATAACGCGCGCAATTCTTAGATTGTTGTGTTTGCCTTGGTGTTACTCCAGCACCAACATGGGCTGTGAAGTACATTGATGCTACTGTGTATCTGTATAGAAGTTGACATATGCATACAGGTCACATTGTTGATTCCTTCTTTATGTTTTCAGGATTGGGGTTTCTTCGTTCCATACTTGATCGGAAGCATATCTTTAGTAGTTTTGGGAATCGGAAGTACTTCCCCAGCGTAAGTCAAAATTTTAGGCGTTCTTCTGATTCTAATAATTCATGATACTATATATTCAGTTGAGCCTTTTCTACCGCATGCAGGTCGTTATGGCTCATTCTTTTATTCATTATGTAGGCTCCTTCAGGCCGCCATTGATGGATTTTCATCCTTTTTTCCTGATTACCAGGAGAGAATCGCCAGACATGAAGCAGCTCATTTCTTAGGTGACATCCTGTTCTAACTTTCAATATTTTATACTTTTATTTTTATTTGGCTATGATAATGACATAAGTTGAGCTTTAAATGAAACATTGAAGATTCATATAACACGAACCTCGACTAGTTATTGTTGTTGTTATTTGGTTATGATAATGACATCGAGGCATAGTTGTTATTGTTGTTGTGCTTCTGCGGTTCCATTAACTTTCCTCTACTAAGCTGTACAATGTCAATTTCAGTTTCCTACCTAATCGGTGTTCCGATCCTTGGATATTCACTGGATATTGGGAAAGAGCATGTCAATTTAATTGATGAAAGGTTGGAAAAGCTTATATACAGTGGGCAGCTTGACTCAAAAGAACTCGACAGGTATCGACCTCAAAAAAATCTCATCTAAATTTTCACCAGAAACTAAAATTATTTACGAGTAGTTGCATTTCTCAGGTTGGCAGTGGTAGCGATGGCCGGGCTAGCAGCAGAAGGGCTAAAGTATGATAAAGTTGTTGGTCAATCAGCTGACCTTTTCACTCTTCAGGTTTAGTAAACACTATCTTGGAGTTAAATTGCCCTTTTTCTGGAACCATTAATCAAAAAGCTGTTGCTCTTTGTCTTCACAGAGATTTCTAAACAGGAGCAAGCCGTCGCTTAGCAAAGATCAGCAACAGAACCTTACAAGATGGGCGGTGAGTCTAAAACCGAACACATACAGTGATAAATATACACAAAACTGTTGAAATATATAACATAATTAAGTAAATTAAAAATGTGTTTGTCTCTAGTAGTTTAAGCTTTCATATGAAATCATCCCACACTTTGGCATGGTATCAGAGCACATCACAGGGCATGGTGAGACATAATATAACTACGTAAGCAATTTCCGAAAGCACTACAATTGAAATAGGTAGTCCGTATTGGTATTAGATCTATTCCCATGTTCCGATCTTTTCATTTTTAAAAGTCTATTCTCTCTAATAGATTAGGCTTCTAGATGAGATAGTCACATACTTCAACACAAACATATACAAAATTCAAGATACATACACACACATAGATTGTTGGCTTTGCCACTTCTAAGGTACCCGAAGATATCTTAGAAGTGGGGGAGGGGATTATAATATGGGGAACCGAACCCTCACCAACAAGGTGAGAGTTCAGGCTACGTGAAGATATCGATTATAATGTTGCAAGTAAATCCAGGCATGACCATTATATATTCTGATTAAATTTTTGCAGGTTTTATTTGCTGCTTCTCTACTGAAAAACAATAGCAAGCTTCATGAAGCCCTAATAGCGGCAATGACAAACAAGGCATCGGTCGTAGAATGCATAGAAGCAATTGAGAAAGCAGCTTGATCTTACTCCAGAAATGTGACTAAACACTTGTACATGAAAAACATGTGTTTTTTTCTCATAAATTTGAAAATATATCGAGGAACAGAAAGAAGTATATATATAAACATGCTTAATAGAGAATGTATTCTATTTTTTTGACATTGATGTTGAACATCTGAAATGTCACCAGAAATGTGAAATATTACATGTACGAGTTCTAGAGTTTTCGAGTTTCCTACCTGAACTATCAGCAACTATTTATGTGAAGATAGAATAACTAAGTGATTTATAATATGATATGAAGAAAACATATTCAAGTGTACATATACCCCATAGACAATGCATTATAGAAACCTTAATCATTTTGAACTATCACATAACACAACATAAATACTCCTATTACAGTACATCAATAGTTATTGTTTACAAAAGTAGGTGACTGTCAATAATGTATGAAAAGAAAAACTAATAATGACAAAATTCCACATATTGATGGTGACTGTCAACAATGTAGTATTATATTTCTTCTCTTTGAGTAATATTTATGTCACGACCCAGACCGTTGTGATTGACACCCACACTAACAATCCGGTGGGAAAATCACTACTACAACCCAAACCAAGCAATCAATCTAAAAACTAAGGCAAGAAAGTAGAGTTTCCATAAACTCTAACAAAAGTTCAACAAACCTAGAACCTGAAAGTCAATGTACCAAAACTCTACTAACGACAAGTCTAAGAACAAGGGATACAACTCCGAAACTAAACAACACCTTAAACAAAAGTCTGAGTCCGAAAAGAGTGGACTTAAACAAGGGAGATCCATGGCATCCTGAAAGAACTAGCTCACCCTTGAATCCGGTCACGCTCATAGTCACCTAGCTGAGGTCTATCAATAGCCACCTGAAGAAGCCCTGTACTAAACAAAGAAAGAGCAAGTGCAGTATCAGTACACAACCACCGTGTACTGATAGGATCATACACCTATCCCACTAAGTATAACATACATTAGTCAATACAACAATATAATCACATGCACATATAGAACATATACAATATCATCAACATATACAAACAATGAACAACTTCACGATTCTCACATATCACAGTTATATCAATTTAGAGCAACATACCGTCCTCCAATATCAATTATCATTAGATATGAACAAACTTATCACAAGTAGATACACAACACAATTCAATGGTCCTCTCATGGAACCCAAACCCAAACAGTTAGCATGCCGGAACGTGGATATCCGATCCCATATTTATGTCGAAACGTGACAATCCGATCCAAGTTAGTTATGCCGGAACGTGGCAGCCGATCCCATATTTATGTCGGAACGTGGCAACCGATCCCAGTTAGTGTGTCGGATCGTGACACCCGCCCATTCAACAAACCATAATCACAATCACAATGCATATTCTCACAATCATACAACAAGAGGTGATTCATGGCATATAATTATTCAATTATCCTCATTTACAACAAGTGTGATCAAAATGCAACATTCACATACATACATGTATCATAATGAAGCAAGAACAAACATATATCACACAATCATAGAATCACAACCATCACCTTCCTCGAATCCAAGCTTGAATCCCCTAAGGCACTTGAATCTTCCCTTTCCGGATTCTTTCCGCTTGTTCTAGGTCTACAAACAACAATTTATATGCAAGGATCAACAATCAAAGGTCTAATTATCCGGATTATAACAAACCCAAGAACCTAATACCCAATTTAGGGATTTTTCCACCATAAATTCTAGATCAAAACCCTCCTTCATCGATAATGACCCACTAGATTAGTTCTATGGATCGAAAAACGGATTCAGGGAGTTAAAACCTTACCTTTAGCGTCAAGAATGGTGAAAAACGGTCAAGAAGTCGCCTGGGGTTGTCTCCTTAGCTCTAAAAATTGAAAAGTGCCAAATAAGGTCATTTAGGGGTTTATTAACGACTTTAAGTCGCATCTAGTCCTGCTACAGCTGCCCCGCTCTGGCGGCTCCAATCCCGCTCTGGCAGCTCCAATCCCGCTCTGGCGGCCTACACGGAGACAAAATGTTACCTGTTCACACTAAGATCATTTTTGGGAGTTCTACCCGTCCAAATTCGATTTCGTAAAGTCGTACGGGTTCCTTAACGTCTTAGCTATCTACTCATGTGGTCAAATCGTAATTAGATCTCTCATTAATTACTAGATTTCCCTACACCTTAATGACTCCGATTTCGTCCAAATTTGGACTAGGTTGGAAAATTCCAAGTAACTACGAAAAAGTTTTCTGGCCCTAATTCTTTCTTCATTGACTTTTCCCTAATGACGGAATCAGGTCGTTACAATTTAATATCTTCAATTAAATTCTATCCACTCCTTACATATCCATTTCTTAATATTCCAAACTTTTCTTGTTCATCATTTTTGAGTATTAATTTGATGGCAGCTTATAGTGCTGTAATTTCTCTTCTTCAAACTCTTGTTGATCAACGAAATATTCGAGAACTCTTTCATGATCACACTGCCAAAACGCTTGATTCTCTTCATGCTACTGCTCAATATTTTCAACATGTCCTTGAAAATATTAGCAAGAATAGAAGATTTGACCATGAAAATTCAAATCTTTGGAGGAAAATATTAGCTGTTAGTTATGCAGAAGATGTTGTTGAGATGAAAATTTCTCAAATCATCAAAGGCTCAAGCTGGACATTTGGAATTTTACAACACCATGATTTGCTACCAGTTGTTGAAAAAATGAATACAACAATGAAACAAGTGAAGGACATTCTTTCTCATGATGCTGATCAACTTCTTGAATTATCCGTGGATTCGTTGATTGATACTTCTTCTACAAGTTATCCAATGATGAAAGATGATAGTGTGTACGGACTTTATGATGACTTGGAGATCATAATTAATAGGTTGAAAGGACGAGTACGGGATCTAGACGTTGTCACAATATTAGGCATGGGTGGCATTGGTAAAACAACACTAGCTAAAACAGCTTATGATCATCTTACAATCAGGTATCACTTTGACATTCTTGCTTGGGTTACAATATCTCAAGAATTTAGACGTAGAAGTGTATTGTTAGAAGCTTTACATTGCATTCCAAAGTCAACAATTAGTTTTAACACAAAGATTATGATACGATGGATGACAATGAGTTAGCTGCCCTAGTTGTTGTTGATGATATTTGGAGTAGGGATGGTTGGGATAGTATAAGTAGAATCTTATTGACTACTAGGGGAACTGAGGTAGCGATGTACGCAAGTACTTGTAGCCCTCATGATATGAGCATTTTGAGTTTAGAAAATGGTTGGAAGTTACTTCATGATAAAGTGTTTGGAACCGAACTTGATCATCCTCCTGAATTGGAAGAAATTGGAAAGAATCATATCATCATATTATATTAAAAGTGGGAAGCCACAAAGTTAAAAGTTGAAATATCATTTTACCCCTACACCAAATTAAAATATAATAAAATATATACTTAACTAAATAAAAAATAAGAATAATTTATTATAAAGTAAATTCCTCCTATTAAATATAATAATTTGTATGTTTTAATGTTAGCCTACTATTTAATTGAAAGAATTTTTAATCTTCTTATACATGTAGTCTTTTTATCTTCTTTATAAATTTTATCTTATTATTCTATTTAGTAATGGTAGCCTTTTCACTTTTCAGGTTATCTCCTTTTATTAATTATTTGTATTATATTATATTATACTAGGTAATTTGTCTGCGCTTCGCGCAGTCATAAATAATAATTGAATTGAACTTGCAAATAATTCTTTACTAATATCCATACATTAACAATAATAGAAAAAATAGGTTCTTAAAAAATATTAGCAATATTCCAACATGAATTTGATTATTTGTCATTATCACATAACTCAATTATATTATATTATACTAGGTAATTTGTCTGCGCTTCGCGCAGTCATAAATAATAATTGAATTGAACTTGCAAATAATTCTTTACTAATATCCATACATTAAAAATAATAGAAAAAATAGGTTCTTAAAAAATATTAGCAATATTCCAACATGAATTTGATTATTTGTCATTATCACATAACTCAAGAATCTTTAATGAATGAATTATTCAGGAAATAATAACTCATTGGTTCTTTAATCAACATTAAAAGGAAAATAAAGAAGAAAATAAGAATATATATACAAAGGCATTTCGTAAGAAAAAGAACACATTTAAGTTGCATAGATAATTATACAATTGTGATATGTCTCAGGAAAAAAATTCAAACAATTGTTAATAGATTCAAAAAAGAAATTATGCTTGAACATGAAAACAATTATAACTTTTGAACTTGCATCATGAATTTCTTCAATTGATAAGTGACAAACTTCATAGCTATGTAAAAATAGATAATATGTAAGCTTATATATATAGTACTTTTAAGTTATAGAATTTTATATAGAATATCAAAACATGAATTCTTGGAACTGAGTACAATAATTATTTTGTGCACAATGAATATACCTACTATATGTGTATATGTTCAATATAACCGGAGACAATAACTTTGCAGAAACATAAACAATAGAATTTAAAACATGTACTCAAAAACAACAAATTAATATCATAAGCATAAATTAATGACCGTAAAAAAAACATACCAGCATATGTAAAAATAGAATGAAATAGAAAGGAAAAAATCGAGTCCACGGAATGCACAATGTCCCCTTAAGAAAACTATTCTCCTCTAATACTTGAGGTTTAAAGAATTAGATCCTCTAAGGATGGAACAATTTTATTCACGAACGTATTGATACAAAAATAATGGTGTCAGTAAGTCATTCAATAGGAGCAAAATACACGAATATTTAATTGTGCAGAATAAGAAGAAGTTCAGAATTTTCATTGTTTTAAAATGAGAGGAAATCCCTCTATTTATAGACAACAAAGGGTAGTGTGAACAAATGCTTATTGTGCCTTATGGGAAAGGTCACAACTCTTAGGAAAAGTCACGACGCTTCGGAAAGGTCACAACCTTTCTTAAACGTCACAACCTTTCGTAAAAGTCGCAATTCTTCATAAAAGTCACAACTTTTCATAAAGTCGCAACTTTTCATAAAAGTCACAACATTTCGTAAAAGTCACAACTTTTCATGAAAGGGGAAGACTAGTTTTGAAAATAAATAAATTAAAAGGGAATCCTTGTTTGTGGTGGCGCCACATAGGCATAGAGTTCTCTTATATATATATATA